TAGTCACCCCCGCGCCACGATGAGGCGGTAGACCATCACGGGGGTGACTCTGGGCTGCTTTGATGATTTTATATGCAAAATCACGAAGCCATAAAGAAGGCAAATACCGAGATGCCCTGAAAACACTTATGTAGGATGGGCGATCCAATTGGCGTAAAATCCTTTTGGGATGAGCGCGCGCTGTGTGCAATGGCACAAGCGATGGACTACATGCCCAGGTAACTTGTATTTATTACCTGGAAGGTAAGTGTAATCGGAATGCTGCAACCTTCACGAATGTAGTCAGGATCCACTCCATGCACTGAAGATTTTTTTAATAAGTTTTATGCCAAACAACAAAGCTTTTCCATCTGACGTTCTTACCTTGCTTCATAGCTCGGGCACCTGCTTTGAAGTTACTGTCGTTGGTATCAGCAACCCAAGGTAGGGCGTCGTGTCCCACACGAGGACTGAAAATCAATCTTTGGAATATGCGAAATATAACAATAGAAAGTAACCCTACTTGAACGTATTCGGAGATCCACGTTTTTTCCATAAATCATTCAGGAAATCAATAACCATCTTGTTTACCTGCAACGAGTCTACTCGTTAATTAATGTTAATCAATGGACATTAAAATCTTAACCTTCTCAGGCTTCATATTTGGCACAAGTCGAATTGAGAATTTTCCAATAACCTTTGAAGGAATAACAGTTTTCTCTCCGGCGCCCGAAAACGCTCCTTCAATACCATGCAGTGACAAGCTGGAAAATTGCGCCAAAATGAGGTACGACAAAAAAAGTTGTCTATTACCATGGCTCTCTCCATCGCCTAATGAGCAGTGTTTTTTTGTCCTCTGTGGGCAGCTGCTTGGCGCCAACACTTTCGCGGAACTCTTTGACATCAAACTCAATCTTTTCGTAAATCTCATCTTCTTCTTTAGTCATGGGAGCGACGTCATCGTAGATTCCTTAGAGCGTTCGAGAATAGGCATTAAGTCTTGTATATTTTGAGAATATTACCAGCTGCCCAGAATGAAGTGTGTCAAGCGTTACATCAATTTCTGACTTTAAGTCTTTGTTTCTACCGCTGTACTAATTACCTTAAAATTTTAATTTGATGAGAACAGAAAATCGCCTAGTGTCCTTTTCCATATGTAAAGCTACCTTCGAATCTTTTCGGTAAACTTCTTAAAATCACTGTTTTGACAGCAAAAGGTTTTTTTGTTCAGATTGAAGGTGAGAATCAGCAACCATAACACTAATGATTAAGTGACTAAGTATTTCGTAGTGCTCTAGCGATATCTCATCATAAAAAAGCGAATTTTAATTGGAA